GTCATTCCTCCATCAGACACAGTAAAACCGTGTTCCACATTTTGTTCTGTAATTCGAGAACTGGATTATCTCTCTCTTTTTTGTAAATGTTAATAATATTTAATATAATAATAACAATAATGATAACAATAATACTAATGATAATAATAATAATAATTATAATAAAGACATTATTAATAGTAGTAATAAGAATACAACTAATAACATTAATAATAAAGTTTATTAGGATGATAAAAAATAATTATAGTAATGATAATAATATTAGAAATAATAATCATAATAATATTCTGTACCTTTAAAAAGCTTACCATTTTCATGCTCTCTGTAAGCGATATACATATGATAACATCTATATTACAGATGATAATTATAGTGAGTCATGAATAAAGTTGACACTAAATGAGTAATATTAGTCAAATAATAACCTCTTTGAGAATATTCCTAGAGTATCATGCGCTCAATTTTCTTTACTTAATCACTTTTATCGAGATAGAATAGCCTCGGGGTACCATTAGTTGGAGTAATAACCGTTCGTCATAAAAAACAAAATCGCAAATTACACTAGTGGCTATTTATGGGCAATTACCGTATAGCGGCCTTCGTTTTTTTTTAAATGCATGTAGTGAATTTAGATGCACCTTGGAGTGGACTTGACCGACATGCTGGAAGGGGATAACTGGACCTACATCCAAATCATTTGCATTTTATGAATATGTATGAGCTACTTCTGGAGATAAATGCGATGCGACAGTCAAAACTGTAACGACATTTGAAGACCAAAACAATACTGAACGGTTTAAACTGTTATAAGAATAGTCTTTACAGGTTTGTTGTCTCTGGTGATTTCTGTTGACTTGAAAAGGGAGGGCTGCTGCTAGCTTTTATTAACATTCAATTCACATTTGAAAACATGGCGTTAAACGTTTTAAATTTCAAATTTACCCAAACAAATCATGTATCATTAAAAATCACGAGAAATTTAATTATTCATTTTTATCCCGTTTTTATGAAAATTGTTTCATGAAATCCTGCTTCCGAAGTTAGTGACCCATTTGAATTTCAAGAATAAACACTAGTCATGCAAAATCTTTATGTTGATCAATTTCATTTAAATGATTAATTGTATTTGATTATAGCGAATGAATACATAATTATTTATGTATTTTCATATTATTTCGTCTGATTTAGTCACCCTATATACTCACTGTAACATCCTCGAAACCGTTGATAAATGTAAACAACCGCCATTAACATAACATTATGCGATATATCATATAATGTAATGCATTCCCATACACTACCAAAACAATCCTTGAGTACTGTTACCGCAAATGAATGAATTCCATTTTGGCGCCAAAGTACAACCTTAAAGATCTTAACCGGTCACATTCGCGTCGCCGTACCGTCTGCTAACAGTCCCCGTCAGGGGTTGGTTACTTTTTTGAAAGATAAGAGTTCCAGTAAGGGAACGAAGTGAAATGGAGCGAATAGATAGCTATCTTTGAACAAACCACTAAGGCCCTGCACTGCACTGCTAAAGCCAGGGTAATTATGCTGCATTATTGTAGAGCGCTTAAAGACTTCTGATAAAGTAAGTGTTAGGCGCTATATAAGCAAATATAATTATTTTATTATTATCTCACTGAGCAGCGAATTCTTGCGAACGTAGCGAACTTGGGGTTTCGCCAGGGTTAGTAAAAGGTTGCAAAAGGTTGCAAGAATGTTCGCAAACAGTCGTAGGCCTTTGCAAACGGTTGTAAAACGGTGTTGCCCTTTTTTATTGCCAGTTCTCCTTGTTTCGCCAATGCTAACGACCACGTTACAATATAGTTCCTTTATAAAACAGACCCATTGAGTACTAGGAGCTATCAAAAGGTTTCAAACGTTCGCAAATAGTGGCAAATGATTGGCAAATACTTACTAATCTTCATAAAAAAATGTCTCTAGTCGCCAACTGCTTTTCGCAAACACTTTCAGAAACATTTGCTTAAATGTTGCTAATTGTCGCTAAACGTCACTAAAAGTCGCTGATTTTCGCCAACATTCGTCAGAAAAGTTGGTGAATCTAAATTCGCAACGTTGGTAAGTGAGATACGGCCTTTGAGATTCATTTTTCATTAAAAAGAATTAACGAACATCTTTCGGATCTCGCTGGTATTTTGCATTGATACGGATTTCGCCAGATGCATCCACAAGACATGCACGGACTTGAGATTAGTATAATTAAAGAATTTCATTTTGGCGCCATAGTAAAATCTCGAATTTGTTAACCGTTCACATTCTCCGACAAGGTGTATTCAACATGCGAAAGTCCGCGGTATGTTAATACATATTGGCAAGTAATTGAAATAGTGAAAGACGTTAATGGAAAAGAAACCTGATTGATAATGAACTCTTTTGAAAAATGGAGTTTTGGAATCACCATTAAGATTTTAAAATGACTCAATCATACTGACAATCGAATAAAGTGATGAGTACTACAGGCAGACATTTTTTTTTTTATTTGTACATAATATGTGCCATCAAAGTTAAAACAAACTTGATGTTTTTTTATAGGGGGATGGGAGTACCTGGAAAATTACATAGATCATGTTCATGAAAGAATAAACAACCACATAAAAATAATAAAGATGATCAGTTTATTATTGTTCACCTATAGCTGAACTCAAAGTTCTCATTAATCTCCAATGGGCTATCCATAAAACAGTGATGACTTCCGCAAAGGAAATGAAGGATTTCAGAATAGATGGACTCCGTTTTCAATTACATAGGATTTGAAGTTAATTTGCCGATGGGAATGATATGTGATCAGGATTCCTCTAAAATCCAAGATATCATTGAAAATAAATCAGGTAGGTTGGTAGAATACAGTGGCAGTTGAGGGGTTTTCACAAAGAGGGAGGAACACCCTTGTTTCTTTGGCTTTTTTCATTTTGTATTTGTATTTGTATTTATTAGGTGATACGTAACGAAGTCAACGTATCACCTTTTGATTTCGTCAAGATTTTTCTTTATTATTTATTTTTATTATTCTTCCTCGAATTTGTTCGCAGGATATCTCAAGACTGAATAAAGCCATTATCATGAAACTTTCAATGATGATAGATCTTAGTCTAACTTAGAACTGCGTGACTTTTCAAAGACTCAAAGTCATCGTGACGTCATCCAGGCGCCATTTTGTAAAAATCAACTAATGATCATATCTTTATAACGAATAATAATTTTTCATTCATATTTATCATGATTAAGATCAATATCCGTCCGGTCAAGTTGAGGTCAATAAACGTGCGTAAATGCGCGCGTGCGCGCTCGTCCGCGCGTTTACGCGCGCGCAAAAATTAAAAATGCTCTAAATCATCCCAAATTTTTTTTGCATACGTTTCAGGCCATGAGGAGCATTTGATAAAAAAATTACGCACACGCGCATGCGCGCGCGTTTTCGCGCGTACTGGCATTTTGCAACATAGAATCGCCGATTTTTTTCTGTCATCATATTTGGTACATTTTTCCAAGCATTTTGATAATTTGTTCACCTTTTATTAACGCAATGAGCGTCCGTCAAAGTTGACAGCACGCGCGGATTTGCGTTATCTTTATCCACAATACATGGGCAAAAACATGCCTATATAAAATTCATTGTAACTCTTTAGAATAGATAGAAACTCCTAATATTTTTTCATATTTGGATAGATTATGAGTCGGAGATATGATTTCATGTCTCATTTGATCCTCAATTAACTCATGACGTCATCAAAATGGCCTCCAAACTCCAAATTTAAATTTGCATATTATGACGTCAGCATATTTTTGGAAAATTGATTGTATCTCTGTAAATATGGATCAATTTTCTTTTTAATTTTGATATGTTCTAGCTGAGACAATTTTCTACAAATGTAATGTTCACAATTTTTATTTTTGACAAAAGTATCATGGTGTATTTTTGCGATTAAAGGAGGCATGTCAATTTTTCGCATTTTGCGTGTATTCTCTATGGGACATGACTTTTTCTCAAAACTGGATTCTACACTCCTGTCTTTCGCGAGCAAAATCTCCGTTGTTTTAGCTTCGTTTTCGCTGAGCTTCGGATATGTTGTAGCTGAGACAATGAGCTATCAAAAGTGTGCCCCTTATTTTTTCGATTAGATGCCTGGATCATGCTTATATTTTACTTGCAAAGTAGGATTTCTGAATTCCATTTCCTGTTTACGTGTAATCGCTATGGGAGATGTTTTGGTATATCGGTAACGCACTTGACTTCCAACCTCGAGATCCCTGGTTCGAGTCCGGGTGTCTCCAACACTTTTTTTTCCCCACTTTTTTTTCCTTTTGACCTTCACTGTACCATCTCCTTTGATTATTTAAACACGTAGATTCGCAAATAATGTCATAAATAACCCTTTTTACTTTATTATTACCCTATTTTCACTTAATCCATTACTTTTTGCGTGTAATCCCTATGGGAAATGACTTTTTCTCAAATCTGGAGTCTACATTCCTGTCTTTTGCGAGCAATATCGCCGTTATTTCGGGTTGGATTTTGTTGATTTTTGAGTATGTTGTAGCTGAGATTATATGCTATCTAAATCAACCCTCATTTTTTCAATAAGATGTCATGATCGCGCTCATGATCATGATCATGATCATCACGATCATCATTATCATAATGATGCTAATCATTTATCAATTACATTTTCATTTCTTTGAATAAGATAAAATCGTCAAAAGGTTTTCTTCATGATGTACATTAGAGTCAAATGTGTAACTGGTTACTGCACAGGGTCAAAGGTCATATATTGTTTCAATCTATCTTCCCTAGATCCATGATGATCAAGGAGACACAATTTAATCTTGACATATGAATAGATCATAATGGGAGAAGCATATGAATGGGAGAAGCAAAATAATATATCGTGTAATGCATTATTCGTTATGTAAACCATTATCATACGTATCACCTAATTCGTCTAAGTGACGAATTAAAGTCTAGTGTGATTTGTTCCCATACATCCAACGATACTTTCCTGACTGGCACCACAACTGTAAATTGTTCCTCTATCGATAATGCCGGAAACACTGGCAGTTGCACTCTCTTTGTAACTGTCACAGGTAATAATACATGATTTTCCTGTACAACGAAACATCTTTTTCAAATGAAGTGTATCAAGTTAAAAAGAATTAAGAATAATTGTTTGTCAGGATTTCTATGTTTTTTCTATTAAACCTCGTATTACTTTTGTCACCTTTTTAGACAACGAAGCACCTACTCTGAGTTGCTCCAATGTAACATCCACTACGGATGACGGACTACATTCATCGTCAAGTGTTGTTATAAGCTCAACCGCAACTGACAATGTGGATGCAGATCTTAATGTGATTTGTTCCCATACATCCAACGATACTTTCCTGACAGGCACCACAACTGTAAATTGTTCCTCTACCGATAATGCCGGAAACACTGGCAGTTGCACTCTATTCGTAACAGTCACAGGTAATAATACATGATTTTCCTGTACAACGAAACATCTTTTTTAAATGAAGTGTATCAAGTTAAAAAGAATTAAGAATAATTGTTTTTCAGGATTTCTATGTTATTTCCATTTAACCTCGTATTACTTTTGTCACCTTTTTAGACAACGAAGCACCTACTCTGAGTTGCTCTAATGTAACATCCACTACGGATGACGGACTACATTCATCGTCAAGTGTTGTTATAAGCTCAACCGCAACTGACAATGTGGATGCAGATCTTAATTAGGTGATACGTAACGAAGTCAACGTATCACCTTTTGATTTCGTCAAGATTTTTCTTTATTATTATTATTAGGTGATACGTAACGAAGTCAACGTATCACCTTTTGATTTCGTCAAGATTTTTCTTTATTATTATTATTATTATTATTATTTATTTTTATTATTCTTCCTCGAATTTGTTCGCAGGATATCTCAAGACTGAATAAAGCCATTATCATGAAACTTTCAATGATGATAGATCTTAGTCTAACTTAGAACTGTGTGACTTTTCAGACAGTCAAGGTCATCGTGACGTCATCCAGGCGCCATTTTGTGAAAATCAACTTATGATCATATCTTCATAAAGGAAAGCCATTTTTCATTCATATTTATCATGATTAAACTCAATATCCGTCCGGTCAATTTCAAGTCAATAAATGCGCGCAAAAATGCGCGTACGCTTATGTCCGCGCGTTTACGCGCGCGAAAAAAATTAAAATGCTCCAAATCATCCCAATTTTTTTTTACATCCGTTTCAGGCCATATGGAGCATTTGATAAAAAAATTACGCACACGCGCAAGCGCGCGTTTTCGCGCGTACTGGCATTTTGCAATATAGAATCGCCGAATTTTTTCTGTCATTATATTTGGTACATTTTTCCAAGCATTTTGATAACTTGTTCACCTTTTATTAACGCAATGAGCGTCCGTCAAAGTTGACAGCACGCGTGGATTTGCGTTATCTTTATCTACAATACATGGGCAAAAACATGCCTATATAAAAGTCATTGTAACTCTTTAGAATAGATAGAAACTCCTAATATTTTTTCATATTTGGATAGATTATGAGTCGGAGATATGATTTCATGTCTCATTTGATCCTCAATTAACTCATGACGTCATCATAATGGCCTCCAAACTCAAATTTTTAATTTGCATATTATGACGTCAGCATATTTTTGGAAAATTGATTGTATCTCTGTAAATATGGATTAATTTTCTTTTTTTAATTTTGATAAGTTCTAGCTGAGACAATTTTCTACAAATGTAATATTCACAATTTTTATTTTTGACAAAAGTATCATGGTGTATTTTTGCAATTAAAGGAGGCATGTCAATTGTTCGCATTTTGCGTGTATTCTCTATGGGACATGACTTTTTCTCAAAACTGGATTCTACACTCCTGTCTTTCGCGATCAAAATCTCCGTTGTTTTAGCTTCGTCTTCGCTGAGCTTCGGATATGTTGTAGCTGAGACAATGATGAGCTATCAAAGGTGTGCCCTTTATTTTTCGATTAGATGCCGGGATCATGCTCATATTTCACTTGCAAAGTGGGATTTCTGAATTCCATTTCCCGTTTACGTGTAATCGCTATGGGAGATGTTTTGGTATATCGGTAACGCACTTGACTTCCAACCTCGAGATCCCTGGTTCGAGTCCGGGTGTCTCCAACACTTTTTTTTCACTTTTTTTTCCTTTTGACCTTCACTGTACCATCTCCTTTGATTATTTAAACACGTAGATTCGCAAATAATGTCATAAATAACCCTTTTTACTTTATTATTACCCTATTTTCACTTAATCCATTACTTTTTGCGTGTAATCCCTATGGGAGATGACTTTTTCTAAAATCTGGAGTCTACATTTCTGTCTTTTGCGAGCAATATCGCCGTTATTTCGGCTTGGATTTTGTTGATTTTTTAGTATGTTGTAGCTGAGACTATATGCTATCTAAATCAACCCTCATTTTTTCAATAAGATGTCATGATCGCGCTCATGATCATGATCATGATCATCATGATCATCATTATCATAATGATGATAATCATTTATCAATTACATTTTCATTTCTTTGAATAAGATAAAAATCGTCAAAAGGTGTTCTTCATGATGTAAATTAGAGTCAAATGTGTAACTGGTTACTGCACAGGGTCGAAGGTCATATATTGTTTCAATCTATCTTCCCTAGATCCATGATGATCAAGGAGACACAATTTAATCTTGACATATGAATAGATCATAATGGGAGAAGCATATTAATGGGAGAAGCAGTTTACAAAATAATATATCGTGTAATGCATTATTCGTTATGTAAACCATTATCATACGTATCACCTAATTCGTCTAAGTGACGAATTAAAGTCTAGTTTATTTATTATTATTCTTCCTCGAATTTGTTCGCAGGATATCTCAAGACTGAATGAAGCCATTGTTATGAATCTTTCAATGATAATAGATCTTAGTCTAACTTAGAACTGCGTGACTTTTCAAAGACTCAAAGTCATCGTGACGTCATCCAGGCGCCATTTTGTAAAAATCAACTTATGATCATATCTTCATAACGGAAAGTAATTTTACATTCATATTTATCAAGATTAAGATCAATATCCGTCGGGTTAATTTGAGTTCAATAAATGCGCGCAAAAATGCGCGTACGCGTAGGCGCGCGCGTTAATGCGCGCGTAAAATTTTAAATTGCTCAAAATCGTCTTAAATTTTTTTGCATACGTTTCAGGCCATTATAAGCATTTCATAAAAAATCACGCAAAACACGCATTTTTGCACGTTTTCGTTCGTCACGGCCGAACGAAAAATAATTTCTCCGCAAAAGCTCTTGACCGAATATTCCTCATATTTTTCCGGAAAATTTGATACCATGTTTAGCTCTTTATCACTATTAAAAACGGAATGAGCGTCCGTTCAAGATAACCGTCCGTACGCGCGATTTTTGTAATACATTGCATATATGGGCAAAAACATGCCTATGAAAAGTCCATTGGGATGAATAGGGATTGCCAATTTTTTTTTCATATTTAGATAGAGTATGAGTCGGAGGTATGATTTCATATCTCATTTGGCCATTAAGTACATCTTAACGTCATCATAATGGCCTTGGGAGTCAAAAATACAAAATTGCATATTATGACGTCATTGTATTTATGGAAAATGTAGTGTATTTCTCTCAATATTCATCGATTCTCTTTGAAATGTCGATATGTTGTAGATAAGGCAATTCGCTACAAGATCACTTTTCACTAAGTTTCATTTTAATGAGGTCATCATAGTACAAAATTCAATTAAAGGCCACATGTCAGAATTTTCGTCATTTGCGTGTTATGTCTATGGAAGGTGAATTTCGTTCACATCGTGAATCTACATGGCATTCATCTATGAGCACTATCTATCTTATGTGTGCTCTGTTTTCTCCCAAATTGGGGTATGTTATAGCTGAGACCATGGGCTATCAAAAAGGGTGACTTTGTTTTTTAATCAGATGTTGGGATCATGTTAACATTTTCGATCGAAAGTTGAAATTGCAAATTTTGAAGGGATCATTAGGTGATACGTAACGAAGTCAACGTATCACCTTTTGATTTCGTCAAGATTGTTATTTATTAGGTGATACGTAACGAAGTCAACGTATCACCTTTTGATTTCGTCAAGATTTTTCTTTATTAGGTGATACGTAACGAAGTCAACGTATCACCTTTTGATTTCGTCAAGATTTTTCTTTATTATTATTATTTATTTTTATTATTCTTCCTCGAATTTGTTCGCAGGATATCTCAAGACTGAATAAAGCCATTATCATGAAACTTTCAATGATGATAGATCTTAGTCTAACTTAGAACTGCGTGAATTTTCAAAGACTCAAAATTATCGTGACGTCATCCAGGCGCCATTTTGTGAAAATCAACTAATGATCATATCTTCATAACGAATAGTAATTTTTCATTCATATTTATCATGATTAAGATCAATATCCGTCCGGTCAATTTCAAGTCAATAAAAGTCCGTAAATGCGCGCGTGCGCGCTCGTCCGCGCGTTTACGCGCGCGCAAAAAATTAAAATGCGCTAAATCATCCCAAATTTTTTTTGCATACGTTTCAGGCCATATGGAGCATTTGATAAAAAAATTACGCACACGCGCATGCGCGCGCGTTTTCGTGCGTACTGGCATTTTGCAACCCAGAATCGCAATTTTTTTCTGACATCATATTTGGTACATTTTTCCAAGCATTTTGATAATTTGTTCACCTTTTAATAACGCAATGAGCGTCCGTCAAAGTTGACAGCACGCGCGGATTTGCGTTATCTTTATCCACAATACATGGGCAAAAACATGCCTATATAAAATTCATTGTAACTCTTTAGAATAGATAGAAACTCCTAATATTTTTTCATATTTGGATAGATTATGAGTCGGAGATATGATTTCATGTCTCATTTTATCCTCAATTAACTCATGACGTCATCATAATGGCCTCCAAACTCAAAATTTTAATTTGCATATTATGACGTCAGCATATTTTTGGAAAATTGATTGTATCTCTGTAAATATGGATCAATTTTCTTTTTAATTTTGATATGTTCTAGCTGAGACAATTTTCTACAAATGTAGTATTCACAATTTTTATTTTTGACAAAAATATCATGGTGTATTTTTGCGATTAAAGGAGGTATGTCAATTTTTCGCATTTTGCGTGTATTCTCTAAGGGACATGACTTTTTCTAAAAACTGGATTCTACACTCCTGTCTTTCGCGAGCAAAATCTCCGTTGTTTTAGCTTCGTTTTCGCTGAGCTTCGAATATGTTGTAGCTGAGACAATGAGCTATCAAAATTGTGCCCTTTTTCTTCGATTAGATGCCGGGATCATGCTCATATTTTACTTGCAAAGTAGGATTTCTGAATTCCATTTCCCGTTTACGTGTAATCGCTATGGGAGATGTTTTGGTATATCGGTAACGCAGTTGACTTCCAACCTCGAGATCCCTGGTTCGAGTCCGGGTGTCTCCAACACTTTTTTTCACTTTTTTTTTCCTTCTGACCTTCACTGTATCATCTCCTTTGATTATTTAAACACGTAGATTCGCAAATATCGTCATAAATAACCCTTTTTACTTTATTATTACCCTATTTTCACTTAATCCATTACTTTTTGCGTGTAATCCCTATAGGAGATGACTTTTTCTTAAAATCTGGAGTCTACATTCCTGTCTTTTGCGAGCAAT